TCACAATCCCAACTATACCTTAGCTGATTTTGACGCCAGATATTAGAGTGGTTGCACAAGCCAGAAGTATGGTTAAGTCAGCTGAAAGTTTGGTTGGATCAACCATACTTCTAGCTGGTGCCCTCACAGTCAGCATAAATGTGGTTGGATTAACTGTACAGCTGGCTGGTGTCTTTGCACCTCTAGCTAGTGCAACTACTCTCATGGCTGGCGATAAAATCAACTGGATGAATTGTTGAGATTGCGATACTTTTTTTCAAAGAGGAATCGTTTAAAACCTCAAAACTGTTTCTCTGAAATTGGAAATTATGGGCGAATCCTTATAGTCCCGAAAATCCATCTTGCCTTCACCGATGCCTTTACGAAAAATTTGGGGTCTAAAAGAGCAGGCAGGGAATGCGGTACGGCAAGGAACAAATGGAACGAGAGAGGGAGCGAATACAGGAACTCGGGAATGGGATGATCAAAGATTACAATAAACGTCCGATTTATGTAATCTTTATTCCCGTTCGTGACATCCATAAGGCGAGTTGTCTCAACTCTCTCTCTCTATCAAGTGACTGTACTTCCCATATCAACACAAAATATCTGTTCTTCTCACCGGGCAGTTAAGTTATTTCGTCTAGGCAAGAACGATAAATTATCTCTGTGCTCCACAGTCATCAAGCGCTTCATTTCGACGAGAATTGGTTCCAGATTCGATCGTCGTGTAACGGCAGCCTACGATATCTCGTCCCCGGACGGTGGGCACTCACTTCCCTCTCCCGAACGGAAGACTTCGGGAGCGAAACTAATGATTTCTTCGCAGATGAGAGCAAAAAAAAAAGTCCAATTCACTTTGGCGAAATCACGCTTCGCCCGGAATTAGAGCTCGGCGGAAACTTTGTCAATTTGTTCGTCTGTTCGTTTGTTTGCGGACAGGGCGGGGAGGGGTGACGAGGGAGGGTAGGAAGGGGGGACGGGGCAACGTCTCTTCGCGACACGAAAAAAGGAGGTGGAAAAATTGTTGGTCGAGTTTGTCGTGGCAGATTTCTAATTGGCCGCGAGCGGTAATGGAAAGAAGCCCAATGATTAGTCGCCACCGTTGTAACCGACACTGACGCCGAAGTGGGCCATCATCGCGGGGAATGATTGAATTTCCGTGCGCAACGCGGCAACGCCGAAATTATGGTCAGTTGCACGGTTGTCGTGTTCGTCAGATTGTCCTTTCTTCAGGTGAAGAATCTAGGAATCTTGGTGGAAACTTTCCCGGGAGGCTTGGATATGTCGCAGGCAAATAGTAAAATCATGCACTTAGTCGAATGCCTAGGTAAATAGTCAAATATTATTGCGCAGAATGAAATTCTGACTCTTTTCCTAATTTTAGTCAAACTAATAAAATGCTCCAGTAAAAAAGACTTATCTGGAAAAATATGGATCATTCAATAATAATTTAAACTATTTTCAGCTCCTGAATGAAAATGTATCTAAGTTAGCAGCATGTCTCAAAATACAGATTTTGTAAGATTTTAACATTTAAATATATGAGAGGCATTTAGCGTGGAAGAAACCAGAAGAGTTCGTACATTTGATGAGTTATTTTTCCCAAAATATTGGAAATTCGAGATTTCTTCGCCATAAATTTACAAAATTTTGTAAATTGTCAACATTTGACTACCTGCATAGGCATTTGATAAAACGCCTGATTTGATTAATTGCCTCCGACGGATACAATTGGACCTGGAAAAAGTACTGCCCACACTTTGAGCATTTACTCAGCATTCCCGTCTTTCTTGGGAAGGAACATCCCATAGAGCTTCTCTGAGAATCCTAGTCTCTAGCAATAAGCATCCCTCCACGGTGACTTTGATCCCAACTGAGACTATTTAGGAAATGCCAGTGCCTTGGAGGTCGACGTTTTATGCCAAAATAAGAGGTTTTTGATCGGTGACAATTTGCCCATTGATTTTCAAAGAGGACTTTCAACACTTTTTAACAAAAAAAAAAAAAGATACATTCATGTTGAGGCGATTGATATCTCCGTGATATTGTGAAATTTGGCTCGAAGAACTATGCTTAAGTCGCAGAATAAAAAGTCAAAACTAAGCCGAAAAATTCGATGTTATAAGTACCGTTATTGTTCGACGTGTCCTCAACAGAGCAGAGACAACATTTGCTGTAAAAAATAGACAAATAGTTCCAACACGTAGTCGTGTTGAACAGCGATCGAGGTCTAAATTGGATAAGGAGAAATTGATTTTGAAAATAAATAGAAAAAAAATAAATATTTTCATTGCAATGACAGATACCGTTGGAGAAGTCAATTTAGCACTTTAGGCCACGCCAATCATCTTGGATTTTGGAATTTCAAAAATTTGAAGCAAAATTCAAGTTTCCCGTCAAAAAATACCCACATGTAGCAAGTTTCACAAAAATCCATCGAACCGGAGCCGAGATGGCCGATCGCAACAGTGTCAGGTTGGGTTAAGTTAGGTCACGCAACTAAACTAACCTAGCGACAAAGCGAGAAGTATCACTGGAATTGAAGGCGCCTCGATCCCGAACTAGCACACACTATTTAAGTGCGACATCGATCATTAAAGGTTCTGGGCTCTTTGTCTCTTTCAGAACGCTATAGGCAGCCATGCTGCGAAAAAAACCCCTTATGGGTTATTCGATGATGCCAAATTTCTTCCGATAAAATAAATATTTTCTCTTGGAGTCAACCGACTCTGTTATGAACTATAACCGCTATTCCGATCAGGCAATTGTTGAGATGGTCCGGTTTTTTTTAGCGCGATATAAAAAATGAAATTTGTGTGAGGAAACATGTAGACATCATTTCGCAATTTGGAACTAAAATTTCTAGCTTAGTTAAGAAGCAACGTATGTACCATCGAACTGAAGTGTCGTTAAGCATTAAAAGCGAAATCTTAACATCAAATTCAGAAATTCATACTGGGATATTGAATGTGAATTTCAATTAAGTGCTTAATGAAACCACTAAAGTTGTCGTCCGATCTGCAAGTAACCAGGTGGTAAAATTGTGCTAGTTCCACACTATGTTGCGGAGGAAGCAAGGTTCAAAAATTCCACAAATATCAATTTGAGTAAACAATTAGAGCTTAGTATTCCAATGAATCTGCCTGATCTGAACACTCTCTCCACTCAATCTCAGTCACGTAGTGATCCTGATAAGAGCTTAAATTTTAGACTCTAATAGAAATGTTTCAAATTTTCCGGCATTGCTTTCCCCGCAAAATGGTGCGAACTTAGCACTATTTTACCAATTTCTTGGAAAAAAGGTTGTCGGTAAGCATTTTAATGTTTCCTATTCGTAATTTTGTGCATTATTAATTTATTTTGACCTAGAATTTGGATAAATCAAAAATATCTTAAAGTCGATGCTAGAGGCTGAAGCCAGGTGGCAGCACTGTCTTGGCGACGCAGATACATTAAAACTCTTTTCGCCGCTTCAGCGAACACGACACCAGAACGTCTTCAATTTAATAAGTGTTCTTCTTCTCCTTCCTCGTTCCCACTTTTCCGTTCCTGCTCCCATTGTTCGCGCACACGCCGACAAATTGGTCGCGGGCATTAGCCACGGCTTCGGCTGATAACCGCGAGTCCTCAAAACGAGTTCCCTTGCAGGAACGCACGCTGCAGGAGGAATTTTAAAATGAACCCAAGCACCCAAACCGACCCGACAGGACGCACAGTGGATCGGGCCAATGGGAGAGTTCGGACATGATTTATGAACTTTATCGGCGTATACCTTGATCAATATGAGATGCTGATGTTTTAAAGTGACCTTGTTTTTGTCGGCCTCCTACAAAGTAATAATTATAGCGCTAGCACTATGCACTATGATCGAAAGGTCCCCGGTTCGATTCCCGGTCGGCCACCAACCCGACTTTGATAGTCTCAAACATGGGTTTGATGAGTTTCCTGGGACTGGTTATTCAGTAGGGACGGATGTGGGACAGTGGCGTGGCGTGAATGATCGATTATCGATATACCGCCATTTGAAGCTATGGTAAAGAATCGATTTCTATAAGGTGTTCGCTGCGAACACCCTAATAATCGATTTTTTTTCATAGGTTTAAGTGGCGTATCGATCGATACATCTCAAAGCATGCCACGCCACTGATGTGGGACGGGACTAAAGCGCTGAATTATCCTTTGTGGAATACTTGAAGAAGGGGGGGAGGGAGTGGTTCCATTGGTTTCCTGGTCAACTTTTCTACTTGAAACACCCCTTGAAGTTTAAAATTTGACGGAATAAACAACAAAGTTTGCAGTTTCAGTCCAAAAAAGCATGTCCAAACTCTTCTAAGGACTCCTTCAACTGTGCGACGGAAAACGAGTGAAGACACCCACATTGCTCATTATACGCCGACGTTATTTATAGACGAAAATGAAATCATGAGCGTAGGATTTAATTCTTATAGTCTGTTGCAATAGAAATGTGTTTACATTGGGCAATATCAAAGGCTGAGCAACGATATCGCCTGACTGACGATTTTGCCGCATTCTTACGTATAAAATACGCAATCTGATTATTTTAATTTTTTCCAATTCTGTAGACGAGCGCTGCAACACTGGAAAAAATTTTCTAGAGATATATTTTGACGTTAAGCGTCGTTTTCTGTGGCCAAAATTTGATTTTTTTTTTAGTTAAATCAGTTTTTTTGAGTTAAAGAAACGTTAGTTTTGCTACCGTTTCTAAACTCAAACTTAACAATAGCTTAGAACGACGCTTTTTTAACTCAATAAAACTTATTTTGAGTTGAATCCGTGCGGATTGAACTAAGGGGAAAAAACCAATTTTGTCGACAAGAAACGACGCTTTATGTCAAAATATTATCTCAAGACGATTTGTTTTCAGTGAGTGACTCTGTAAGTAATGCATGAAAAACTTGCGAACCCAACCTCAAAATTACAAAAATGCGAAGTTTCCTCTTCATCTTGCAAAATAATTGTCAGTTAAGATAATATCATAAACGCTCATAGCTTCTTACCTCATCTGCAGTGAGTTCATCTGAGTTCACCTCGATCACCAGATTCTGAAAAAGAAAAAAAGGTAAACATAAGAATGGATAAAGGCAGATCAAGCTAATAATCCTTGCATGAAAATAACTTATTCCGTCAATATTTACCACGCTGGGAGCAGGTTGTTGCACAGCAGATCCTCGCTCCACTACCCTAAAAGAGCGTAACGCAAACAGGTTTCAGCGCGGGTTGAAGTAGCTCCCTCAAGTTAAAATGAAGGAATCTCATATCACGTTAATATACATATAGATACTGCTATTAAAGAAACACAATCCTGATTACGGAGTTTCACAGTCTGCTCTAAAAATGTATAATCTTATTGGCCTCTGGTTTTCCCTCGGATTCTTTAAGAATGCCCTTGTCAAGGAGCAGTGGTGATTTTAAAACTGTGTTCCCTTCATTTATATACATCATAAAAAGGCCGATAATTGATGAGGCAAGCTATCTCACCAAGGATCGATTGTCTTACATATTTTCCCTCCACTTTTTGATCTCCATACTATCCTTTCAAGGTATTTTCGTGAAATCAGTCTCTTTTTCAAACGAATTAATCTCCAAATTTAATTTATTCTTTCCTTGTCCCAACTTTTAATTTTGTACTACCTCTTTGTGACCCCTACCTTTTAAATTTTTAAGTTCTGTACTAAACTATTTTGATCTCTCCTCTAAGGTGTTAATGGCTAAATTGTTAAAAGCACCAAATAAACGTATCTACCAACCAACCAACCAACCAACCAACCAACCAACCAACCATACATTTTAGTGTTGCCAACTGATCGCGGGGACATGGTGTCAAATTTTAACATCATGGCAAACCCATACCTCTCCTGACTCGCACATTGCGCAAACATCAGAAAACAATCGAATTATTTTTGAAAAATCAACCGAGGAAAAAAAAACTGACTTCGGCCTTCAGCTCGTCGCACTTTGATGCTGGGGGGGGCCAAGAGACACATTTCCCGAGTTGCCGGAAGAGGGGTTTATGCGCCTCCGGAAAGCTCCTTAATTACGCTTCTCGAACCCTCAGCTTTTTTCGGTTTTTTATTCCTTTACTTTTAGCACGGCTTGAAATAAAAACTTGTTCCACGCAGCACCGAGAGCAATGACTTGGAGAAAACTTGCTGGGTGTCTCCTTTTGGGCGGAGGAGGATGGGGGTGCGGTCGGGTTCAATTTGTGCGTCGAGGCGAGAGTTATCGATCATCGATAGTTTCCCGTTAAAAACTATAGCCAAGAATCGATCATTAAGATCGAGCTAGATAATCGATCCTTTACCATGGGTTTAAATGAGCGATCGGTCGATTAATCGCAAGGCACCGACGTCAAGATGTATAATTTTAACGAGGAGGACGCGGGCGAGCCATAAAACCCGGCCCACTTGCTGCGAGAGCGGCGATAAAAACCCCCGTAACTCGGGGCGTAAAGGGCCCGGGCAACTCCCTTTAGGCCCCCGACCGATGCAGGAAGGCAAATTTTAATTTATCACGGGCGCTGCCCGGCAAATCTGCGTCCGCCCCGGCCCCTGCCCCTTCGGCTCGGGTGTGAAGCAACACGCGCTACACGCTTGCCGAGTTTCGCTCAACCACTCGGCCGTGCACAAGAAAAACGCCGTGCGAGCCTTCAGACGATGCCAAATCTCTTTTGACAAATATTCTAATTTCGGGGAACTTTGTAAATATTTTTCCTCCAATCTTTCAGAGAATTTTGTTCGAATTTTGATGTGCGGAGCCAGACAATTTTAAAAAAAAAATGGACCGCGTCAAGCAGATGAGAACCAAGCACCATCAGCTATTGCAAAATTTAAATGGACAATCTGTTTCCTTTTTATGAAAACGGTTGTGAGGAAAATTTCAAAGAATTTTCTTCATAATACGAAACAAATTCCTTCAAATTTGTGAAAGAAATTAATCCGCACAACGTTCTCTCGTAAAACATAAAATTGCCCAGTTAAATTTGGAAATAGCTGATGAGGCTTGGTTCCTTTCTTTTAAACGCAATATCTTCCAAATATTCATAACTTTCTTCAAAAATAGATACTTTCTGAAAGGAAACTTGGCAACATTTGAATGTTTAAACGGCGTTCCCTCAACACGGCAGTAAGACACAGTAAGAAACTAAGCATCACATCACATGTCATCTCGTCAAAGTTTCACGCACACTGAGAAAAAGCTATGGCTTATACACCAATTAGTTGCTCATATGGAACACCACTAATAGTAGTAAAGGCAGCATTTCATAACGCATATACCTTAGTGATGGCACATATACCTCAGTATAGTACGAGATACCTGAGTATGGTTCACAGACCGAGAATCATTAGTTCATTTACGACTATTAGTGGTGCTCCGATGAGCCGCAATGATTGAATCGGCGTATGTGAAAACGTCCGATGTCCAATACCGTTTTTCAGAATTTGAGTGGACAATCTCGTTGTAACTTAAAGACGCAAGATGGTTTAAGACGTTAGAAACGTATAAAAATTGCATAAATAATCCCTTGAGTATGAATAAACGTTAACAAAAGAGATCGATCATATTCATCAGTGTTGTGGGGCAAAAGCAACCACTGAAATTATGAAACCCTATATTGGACAACGGACGTTTTCGCATGAGTCGATTCAATTGGTTTATGAAGCCATAGGTTTTAGAACTCATTAAATATATCGAAAGCATCCATGTGAAAATGTATTTGCTTCTCGGCGAGGGCATGCATGAAATAGTGGCGAAATGGTTACGACTATTTGAAAAAGGTAGATGGCATAGTTCTGACCTTCACCTGAATGCTCCGATGAGAAAGACTGTTCAAACGTGAACTATTTCATGGAGATGGGCACCACAGGACGCTAATAAGCGTGAAATCAGAGGAGGTAACAGCGAGAGCTGCCTGGACGATGAAAGGAAAAATTACCGGCTCATGATATCGGATCGATGATAGGTCCTCCTCGCACCTTTTGTCTCGGCCGACTCCTTCTCCGAGCCCTCATTGGCTCGCGTGAATAGAGAAAACAGACGAGAACATCCCACGCTCGACATACTATCGCATCCTTGCCTCTACCGCGTTCAGTAAATAAGGAAAAATCACGGAAAACGTAGTTGCATTGTGAGCTTTGAGTCTGATTTTTCTCATAGGGGATGAATCATTCCGTGAACGCCTAGTTTCCTTCTACCGACCCATGTGGTGTACATTGTAATTAGGAGAAGTTTCAGGAGATCATTAACATCGCAAAATACACAGTAAAAAATTCCCTGTTTAGTGTAACTCCGCGTTACTTATTTTGTGTTAGTTGTATCCAAGGTAAGTGAAACGTGGGTGTGCTTTTTCCGACTTTACCCTTAGTTTGGCCGCTAGAATGTCGCTTTCGGCTCCCGCCACTGGAGCTCTGGCGCGAGGTTTGAATTCCAAAAAATTTGCAGTCTTGGCCGAAAACAAATAGGACCGCCCGTTGATAAAAACGGACAAATTCAATGCAAGCGAATTCTTTAAAAACGAAAATTCATTAGCTTTTAGTATTGTGGCGGTTTTTTTCCATTTTTATCAACAGCAGACGGTCATATTTGTTTTCGGCCGAAACTGCAAAATTGTTGAAATTCAAACTTCGCACCACAGCTCTAGCGGCGGGAGCCGAAAGCCAAGTTCTGGCCGAGAGGGTCGGAAAGAACAAACCTACGATTCGCTTACATTGAGATCAACCCAAACGACTTGGTTGCTCTACACGATTTTGTCTTAAATGGATCCAAACCGTAGCAGGTCACTCTGAGACATCGGGACAAAGGACACAGACCACAGTGCTCCCTCATGATTTGCGCGCGGAAGCATTAGAAATGTTGAATATTGCGTGGTATCCTCGTGCGCAAGCGTTGAATGGAACGACTCCTCTTACGAAATGTTCACCTCTGCCGTAGGATCGTTGTTGAAGCGGGGAGCTTACAAAAAAGCATATTTCTCACGCAGATTGTGAAGTTAGAAGTACACATATTACTTTTTTTGAAACGCTCCCTGTGATTTCTGAGCCATTTTTTGTAAGAAACAGCTGTTCTGTACGCTCTAATTGAAGTTCACTGGAAAAAAAACACATCGGATCTGGAGTCCAGACTCTTGAAGACATTGACAAGAAAAAGGACTCTTGATTCAATCAGATCTAAGCATAAATCAAAAGGAAATCCGCTCAAATTAAGAGGCTTGGTTCTTAATTTAAGCTTAAATCTGATTGAATCAAGAGTATTTTTTCTTGTCGATGTTTTTAAGAGTCTGGACTCTCTACCCAATGTGTTTTTTCTCCAGTGAAGGGGTTTCTACGACCGACCACAAAATTCCTAGTTTACTTGACGCCGAACCATTTGGCAACTACTAACAGTCCATTGCCGATTCCACAATCAGGATCACATGGGGCGTTGGGCAAATTTCGGGTTGGGAGGCACTTTCCATAACTAATGACTTTCTTCTTTATTTTTGTCAGTATTTTAAAAAAGGGGCAAATTGAGCATTTTACAATAAAACCGGTCATTTTCCCATAGAATCGGAAATAAAGCTACCGGATGACGACAAACGGTCGGTGTTTCGGAACTTCCTCCACTTAGAGTCAAGATCCAAAATGTTGACTCTCGCCGTTAAAGCATGCATTCACATACGGAACAGTAGAAAAAGTGGTTTCGCATGAAGATTTTTCACCGCGTCACAATTCCGAGCGGTGAAAGGTAGCGAGCTCATCGTGCTTCATCAAGGTAGGAATTCCATAACGCACAACGGAGCGAGAAGTAATTAGAGGGCGTATGAAAAAAGGGAAAAGGAAGAGGGATGAGGTAAGTACTGGGTGGCTTGAGACAGGTGGTATTTCCCCCGCTTTAACGCTAGCCCCCCTTTCCCCCTCCCCACGAGTCCCCTCGCCATTGCAGCCCATCAGGGGAAACGAGCGACTTATGAGAGAACATTCCTTTACGGTGTGAAACAATACTTTTTACACTTGTTTTCGTTTCCTCCTCGGTTCTTGCGCCTGGCAGGTTTCTCCGTCCGAAAGTT